GGCTCAGGCCTCACAAGAGAGGACACGGCCCTCTCTGAGCAGCTGCCTGGGCACAGCGGGGCGGGGAGCCTTCCTCCCAGGCGGGAGAGACGCTGGTGGCCCGTGCATGGCGCCCTGTGGGTAGGGAGCTGTTATTGGGTGTGGGGGTATGGATTCCAACTCATGGTCCCCCATAGGGTGTCCGAGGCTGGACTCTGTACAGAAGCAGACTGTCTTGCGTCCACCTAGGGCAACCATGTGGTTACCCATGCACTGCACTGCCCGGCGGGGTGAGGGCGCCCTATCGTCCCCTCCATCCAGGACTTACCTGACTCCAGGGGTGAGAAGGGCCTTGTTAGCCAGTTGAGGTGTCTGGCTGCCTACACAGGCCGGGGTGATCCCCTTGGTGGGAGTCCCTGTGGTCCTCCAGGCAGCCAGTCCACGCTGGGGGTTAGAGACTGGAAGCACACTGCAGGAAGGACAGGGCACCCCCATGCTGACCAGACCCAGTGCCTTACGACATTTCCAGAAAGGAGCACTGGGACTCAAGACTTCCTGAGGGTCAGGGTGGAGGCTGGCCCTGTGAGGAGAGGCCGAGGAATTCTGGCCGGTGGCCCAGGGAGGGACTCCGGACTCTTCCTGTTGGACCGCAGGCCTGGCGTGGCAGCAGAGCGCGGGGTTGGGGACAGGCTGGCGCTCTGCCTGTGAGTCACGGCCACTCCTGGCTTCCGTGTGCCCACTGGGAGCCCCATCAGCTCAGCTGCCAGCGTCACTGCCCCCTGTGTCCCCACGACTCCGTCTGCAGGCACAGCGTCACTCCCTCCGGGAGGAGATGCCCTTCCTGCGCCTCCTTCCCTGGGGACATGCCGCGGGCTGTGATGCCCTGTCACCCCTGAGCTCAAGCCCAGGGTGGCCCATCCACCCCTGGTGTGCATGGTGTGCCAGGCGCCCCCTGGAGGCTGCCATACTGTGAGTGTGTGCACCTGAGTGCATAGGTGCGCACAGGTGTGTGTGTGTGTGTGTACACGCATGTGCATGCCCGTGCAACACTCAGAAGGGTCCTGGTTCAGCCCCCCTGGCCTCACTAACACACCAGGAGAGAATCCCCATCTCCCGGGAGGGTCACAGCACAGGTGCAGGGTTAGGGCACCAGCCCAAGCCATTCTCTGCCTGTCCCCCAGGGGCCGGCTGGCCTCGGTGACTGCCTCCAGAACTGTCCCTGTGCCGTCAGCCAGACCGAGGCTCCAATGAGCCGAGCCCACCTGCTGTGAGAGGCTGCTCCCCATGCGGGGGCCACCCCAGTGATTGAGGGGGGCTCCCTCACAATGAGGGCTCCCGTGGGTGACGCAGGCAGGGCTGGGG